ATCTCAACAAAAATCTTAAACTTGGTATAATATGAAGGCAAAATGCTTGGAGTTATGGTATTTAAAACAAGTCAAACAACTTTTAAGACTTGGTGGTATCAGCACTATTTCTATTGTGATATATAAGAATGCTTTCTCAGTTGTGTCTGAGAAATGACTAAAAAGGTTTGTAGGTCTCTAAGTATAAAGCTCAAACTGTTGTAAAGTAGCGCTGATGTAAATATCAGAAGGTTTTTGATTTTTTTCTGCCATAAAGATTAAGAAACAAAGTTAATAGTGATGTTACCTGGCCAGGGTATTTTTTTAATCCTCCCCTTTTAAAGAGTCAAATTACACAGCTCTCTGCATCAAACTGTATGCAAAGTTAAAATATTGTGAGGGTGTTATAATACTGAGTTTAATAAAATACCCTAGAAAGCACAATACAGTTAAAAATGCCTTCAACTATGCCCATGTTTTAAACTACATCAAAATAGTAAAAAGAAAAACAGAAGCCTGCTACATTCTACTTTTTTTCCCCCTACTTCCTTGACTGTCCCCGAGAGGCGTTGGCTTTCTCATAAAGCTCTGACCCACTTCCATTGTGTGAGAGTATAGGTTTTTCCTGCATAGTTCCTTCCCACTAGATCATAATTAGATGTTTTCATTAACTGATCGCTTGAATTCCAGTACTGGAAAACACATAAGTGGAACAAATGGAGAGCAAAATTTAATACAAGATAAAGAGGACAAGGGGTTAAATTATTTATTAAAGATAAAATGGGAAGAGGCCCCTCTAAAAAATCCAGTGTAATTGTATGTTAAGCATTGTTTATTAAAAAAAAACAACATCCAAATATATTTGTACCAACTAATGCTTTCAAATGTAGATACCAAATCATACTTTAAATGACTGACATGGCAAGGTGAGTTTTATTCATAGAATCAACCAACAGGCTCATGACAACTCTCTGGCAGCTGCAGAAACCGAAAGCTACTGTATGGAAGAAGAATCTCTTTACTGATGAACTGCTTGTCTGGGACTGAACAAACCTGGCCTCATGGACATTTAAAGAGATGACATGCTTACATTTAGGAGATGGTGTTATGGTCAAGTAGGACAGAAAAACAATTAGCCTATATGCAAAATAGTATGTTGGAAGGAGTACTAACACTAAATATTATCTCACTGTAGCAGCTGCCATGCATGCTGTACAGAAGCTTCTGTATAGCTGGCACAGTGAGGCTGTTCAGTGTTTATGTGAGGTTCAATTACAGTTAAAAGTAATTTAAAATGTAAAAAGTAGTGTAAAAAAGGCCTGAGATTGGGATGGAGAATCCCTATCATGCATAAAATGACCTTCAAAAACAGCCAGAGGTACAACAGAGCAATGTAGTTTCAATGAGTTGAATTGAGAAGCTGCTGCCCTACCCGAAAACATTTGTAGCTGTAATTATGTTTTTTGTTTGTTTGTTTTTTTCAGTATGACGCAATCCATATATCAAGCTTTTTCTATTTTTGAAAGGTTTTAAAAAATAAATATTTCCACAAAATGTAAATATGCTTTACCTTTTTTTCGTAGATTTAGAAAAAAGAAACACCTTGAAGCTGCTGGATATCAAATAATAGGTTGTAGAATGGTGGTTTTGGAAACGTTTTCAAGATTTTGCAGTTTAAGAAAGATCTAAATCTGAGGGATATGGCAACTTTGGGAAAGCATCATTTTAATAAGAAAATCTGGAATAATAATAATAAGAGATTTTGGATCAACATCATATTGTCACTGAACAGCTTCACAAAGAAAAAAAAAAGAGCTTTGAAGTTGCCTTAACATGCCTCATACGTTTCATCTCAAACACTGTTAAGCTTTGATGGAGTTTAGAATACAGGGCTTAACAACTACAAGTTAACAAGTGGCTGAGGCAAACAAAAGGTACATCAGCCACTCCCGCCTCACAATGGCAAATATCCTCTTTGAGATATTCCTTCCTCCTTTTAAAGTTTTTTTGAGAATCTGTCATTTAATAAGTTTTATTGTTTCTGTTTTTACTTTTTTCATTTTCCTATTTAATGTATGTAAAAAAGACACATTGGTTAGCAAATATATAGACATTCATTTTTCTATTGAACAGAGAGTGTTGATGACCACGCAAACCCTTCTTCTGTTTATTTAGGGGCTGGCTCACCTACAGCAACTGGCATTTTCAAATGTTTCCTTTCAACGTGTGCTAACAGAGGTTGCAAACTTGTTTGCAAACAAATTTTGGCTATCCGCATGTTATTAATATATATCAATAAAATAGGGACTTTGCAAACATTTACTGGCATTTCATACTGTTCTTTTTGTGTTAAAGGTAAATTTCCCCATTGTGTGACAATTAAGTGATTTTTTAATAAATAAATATATATATATATATATATATATATATATATATATATATATATATATATATATATATATATATATATATACTTCACCACCCTTAAGAGGTAAAAATAAAGTGACAGAGAAAAATAACAAGAAATACATTTTAACTGGTGTTCTTCTCCACTTCTCAACAGGAAATCATTTCCTGTTGAGTGAAGAAGGTTAGGAAAGTAATTTATGTATTTATTTTCTCCTGAAACTGGTGGACTTTCTGTAAAAAGGAGCATAGATAAAGAAAAAAACTCTTAAGGTCCATGATATGCCAACACGTGAGGTTTTTTCTTGATGACATGTACCTCATTCACACTTATGACTGAAAATATAGCCTTGACCACATCATACGATTAAAACTATATCCAAAAGCAACTTTATCCAATGATCCAAGAACATTGTGATAAGGAACAATGCCTTTTTTTTTCCAAACATCAGAGCATGTCAAGGCCATCACTAAATGGAGGAGGGATCAAAAACACTGCAATATTGGATCCATTATATAGGAAGCTATCTTTAAATTCAGTCATTTGTGGTTCATCAGATGCTTAAAATATTTTCAAATAAGTCAGGTTAAGTTCACAGAGTTCACACATTTAATAGTACATTAGTGACCCCTAGCGTTCAAAATGTGAAACTGTTAATAAAGAAGGGAAGAAAAAGAATTACATACCACCCTGGCTGCTCGATTGCTGGTCCCACCTTCATTCTGTACCATGAGTAAACTAACATTAACTCAGTTAATGGTTTAGCCTACTTTCCAATAGAGGTGGTTGATACTGAGAAATTTTAATAAATATGATACCAAGTAAATACAGGGTCAGATTCGCCAATAGCGACACAATACCGATATTTTTTAACATTTAAGCTTGATATATCATGGAACTGTTGACCTTTCAGTGTTTCAGTGATTTTATTTATTATTACAACTGAATAATAATAGTGTTAATAATGTAATGTTTATAGTATTAATAATCCACCACTTTTGTGTGCACTTGTCTGTTGCTTTAATTCTGTAGAGTTCCACATCGTGGGATAAATCAAGGAATAGCTAATGTTACCACACTTATGTTTTAATGGGATAAATGTACTGGGTTCTTTCAAGATCTTAATTACACTTTATGAGTTGGCTCCAGTAACATATGACACATAATATCTACTTTGAAAGTTAAAGGTATAGTGGAGAATGGTCTTTTTCTGGGTGGATCATCAAAATAAATGGTGATAATACTGGCATAGTGGAGAAATTCTTTTTTTTTGTAAAGTAAGCTTGTATGAGCGATGCAAAAAACAACTTTTAAACAGAGCTTGCAAGAGGAGAAATGGGCTCGTGCATGCTCTCACATGTTTTTAATAAGCGTTCCCTTTGATACTTGGTTATGCCTGTGCTTTTTTTTTGAGTGGAGAGGGTGGGTCTTTTTCTCTAAAAATCGTGAAAATCCTCCATTATACCTTTATTATGAAGTGCTGCTAAATATGGGCGATTCTAGACAGGGGCAAACGGGGGCCAGTGCCCCTGTAGATAATGTCCTGCCCCCTGTTATGGCCCCTGTACGGAAGACATAATACTCTGAAATTCATTAAATGATAAATTCTAAAGATGATATGCACTGGAACAGAAATGGTTATTGATAGGTGCTTTAGATCTATTTCATTTTTTTTCTTTACAAATTCTGTTTTTTTCTATTTACTTAAAAGCAATAAGGTGATAGCTTCAGTGCTATTGAGATAGGATCCCAGTTTTCATCTGTTAATTTTTTTTTTTTTCAAAATAAATTGCTCTAATTTTTACAGCCGAATTTATCAGTTTTCTTGAGTTCTAATTTAGATTTTATAGAAAACAATAATTTTAATTTAATTATGTCAAAAATATGTTAAATTCCTAAATAATCAATGTATATATTGGCCTAATAAGGCATAGAATTTTACTTAAACCTAATTGAATAGAAATTTCCCTTTATGCAGTTCTCTTAATAGATTTGAATCCCTTGCCCTGTCTTTTAATTTCATGCTTTTCTGTGCCCCCATGAAAACACGCTGGCCCCCTCCTGGCCCCCTGGTACATTTGGTCTAGAACCGCCACTGCTGCTAAAGGCGATCGCTCTTACGTATCTTACGTTCTCTGGAGCTCTGAAACGCCTGTCAGTCATGCCTTTCTGTAGGTCTCTCGGGGCAATGAGCAAGTCTTGTGTCCTTTCTCCCATTTTTTATGTGCTCATGTGTATTTTTCTGCTCCGATGGGTTTTTTTTCTCTCTCTCTGGTATCTGAGAGGCGTGTTAGTTTGTGTGTGGAGTGGAGAGGGCGCTGAGAGGGCGGGGCCAGGCTGAGCCGGGGACTAGAGGTGATGCGCTGGGGAGTATCAGAAGTATCAAAAGTATAAAGTAAAGTTTTATATATATATATATATATATATATATATATATATATATATATATATATATATATATATATATATATAATATATTTTTTTTCTTTGCTTGTTTTATATATACCGTATTATAAAAAATATATATATATATTTTTTTATACTTTACAGTTATTTTTTGATTTTCTAAAGACACATAATGTATTCTGTAGGGTTTTCTTATATTTAGAAAACAAAAACAAACGCTGCCGGATCGTAACGTGCTTTACGTCAAACTGACAGGTGGGCGTGGCCTGCATCTTGGCAGATCCTCGCCTCTCTTCACCCACCTGGCAGAACCTACTCACCCGGACCACGTTAAGGGCCGATGTTGTGAGAAGCGACTGAAAACCCAGCTCTATATCCACTTCTAAAGCGGTTATTCTACTAAGATCCTACAATGGTGAGCATAATGCCATCTGTCTGCTGAGAAACACAAACTCCATAGTTTTGTTTGTAGGGTGTGTCTTGAGAGTTTTTTTTTAAGCTTATGTTTTATTTTATGTATTTTAGAAGTATTAAGTGAAGTGTAGAGATGCAGCAACATGCAGCTCAGTGTCTGTCAGTAAAAGCTGAACTGGCTGCAGGACATATTGATGTCTAGGTGGAAAAACAGCAGAAAAGCCATTCTTATATAATACATAGTTAAATCTGTCTGAACTGCTGAAATCATGTTTATTACAATTTTTATTTGAACAACAGCAAAAAATGCTTGAATTAAATAGCCCTTTTAAATAAGGGAATCACTGTAAGAACACTATATTTACTATGAACATTCCAGATGAAGTGAATAAGATGCGCCTCATCGAAAAACCAGTTGTGTTAAAGCAAACAACCCTGCAGAGCAGGAAATACTTCTGAACTGATCACGTCATTATCAACATATTTATCCAAAAACTCTAAGCTTAAAAAATACAACTTTGCAACAGTGGGAGACATAATTCATCCATTTCCATTTAAGTATAATATTCTTATTAAATAGTCTCTATATTTTGTCTGTCATTTTCCCACTATACTCTTGACCTTTGTGTTCTGTTTGCCTCATGTATTGTATACACAGCTTGTTAGCCTCAGGATTGCTGTAAAAGACAAATGACAACAGTGTTTACTGAACAAACTGGAGCAGGATGCCTTGTCTAAACAAATAAATTAGATGCATTAAATGTAATACCTTATATATTGTAGCAGGCAGCAGTGTATGATATTATTTTCCCCAATTTTCACCTTGAAAACATTTTGAATGCAGTTATAAAAAAAAACTTTAAAATGTTGTGTCTGACTGTTTGTATGCAATACATCTTTAGGAAACATGGTGTCATATAATCTCCCTCACTGCCCACCAGTTGGAAAATTCTACTATACTATCTTATAATCAGAAGATGGTTAAGTTTATATGATCCTCAGATCTGAATTCACTTTCCTTAGATAATTTGAACACTACCAAAATAGTAATATTTATCTCAGCTACACTGTTGTGTTTATCTTGTTCATATTTAATAGAAAAATATTCACAAAACCTAAGGAAACGAAATACTTTTGGTAGTACTTCTACTGCAGTTTAAGAACCATTGAGCTTACTACTTGCCTTAGATTAAATTTGTATTAGTCAAATGTTTTTAAAAAAACAACCCTTAAGAGTAATAACGATTATGAAATTGTTGATTTAGATTTTAAAGCCTTAAAACAAAGAGATGAAAAGGCTGAATATTGTTTATTAAAGTTAAAAACTGTTTGAGCCAAGTCTATATTTTTTGAGAACTTTTTCCATCTGCTCTATCTACCTATACTTCCTGGATAAAGAACTGGGTAGTCTTATCGAGAAATACGACAGATGCAGCTTTTCAAAGTCAAAATGAAAGGGAGACGTGTTATTTGTGCCGAGCTTCATTCTTTTCTTCATACTTTCTGTTTTCTGATCATGCTTACTATTTGTGGGGAAATGAATAAACGGTAAATAGAACAAGTTGTCTCAAAAACACGTATACATTAGCCTCTGTAGATATTAGTTTCAAAAGCTTTATGTTGTAAAAATATAAAAATAACTTTAAACTGACAATATTTTTTTTATAGCATTGTTATTTGTGTTTACTTTCTTTTTATTTGTTAATATATGTATTTTCTCAAAACTTTATGTTTGACAGTCTCATACATCAGTCTAACAGACTATATCAGATGCTGAGATCAGTTATTCTGCCCTTAATATATTTTTTTTATCAAATAAATTTCTACTCTTTCTAGAGCATATTTTGAGAGACTTTATAATAATACGTTAAAATTATGCTGTTCCTACTTGAGTATAATCTTTGGCTACTCTTCCCCCCTCTGCTTGTGTAAATATTTGATTTCCCTCACTGAAGTTGTATTTCAGTTCACTCTATTTGTATAGCACCAAACGACAAACATCAACCTTAATTTTTTTCACAAGACACACAGTTCCTATTCACCACCAAATGACTCCAAATATAATGAATGGAACCCGCTTACTTGAAATCACTCATAATGCTGGAAGCTGCATATCATCTCAGTTTGAACCAGTTGGAAGTTTAGTTAAGAGGAAAGAGATTTTCTTTTAACAAAAGCAGAAGCTGTGGACCAGGGATATTTTCCATGGAAAAAGAAACAAAGTGGGAGCACAATAATAATAGCAGCTGTAATAAATAATGTATAAATCAAAGAGTTGAGAGAAGCGGAAGTTTCTAAAATTGAGGCACATTTAGGATGAAGGTTAGGAGCACTGCTCAAATTTTAAGTCGAAGCACGAAGGGGTAGGTGGAGGGTTGAGTGCAATTAAACTGTGCTTTGACTCTACACGTTTTTTTTCTATGTTTTTATTTATTTTGATTTAGAATATTCAGCTAACTTGTGTCAATAGCTAAAAGCAGATTATGTACACTAAATAAAATGATATAGCTGTTATAATTCCTGCTAGAACAGCTTACCATATAAGGTATTTTTGTTTTTCTCTGGCGCCGCACAACTATTTGAGCTTCAAAAGTCATCCCAAATTAAACTTTATGTAATGTTAATATTAATCCTGAATATGATTAGTAATGTTATGTATATATTTTTCTCAAGCACTTTTGAAACCCTTAGTTTAAGTCAGCAGCAGAACAGGATTCTCAAGTAAGCTTTGCCACTCCTTAGACATGCCTCTGCTAATGTCTTCTAGAGACACACCCCAATGGAGTTACTTATGAAAAGGTTGACAGTTGTAGACAGGCTTGTTTCTTTAATCTTATTTCTGTAATACCTTTGGATATAAATGGGGTGAGGGGTTTTTTTTAAATCTATTTTTAACCCCCCATAACCCAGATGTCGTTATACTTTTGAGAAACCTTTGTGTGACCAGGATTTGAAATTCTACCTAGTGATGGACAGTGTTTGGAAGGCCCACAGTCTGTGTTTACAGCAACAGTCTGCTCCTGCAGCTAAGTGTCAGGTTAGCAGGAGTTAACGAAAATAGCTTTGCTGAACCGAAAGCTCTGGTGACTCATCTAAGGGTACAAAGATTAAAGATCTGATATAAACATTTTTACATTTGACCAGGTTTTTAGTCACTAGCTTTAAATTTTTTAAACCTGATTTCATGTGGTATACTAATTCAAAGACTTCAGAACCATAAAGTTGAAGAAAAAATGTGGATTTCAGAATGCAAATCAGAAAAATATTTCACTTATAAGTCTTTTAGTTTATCTAGAGACTAATATTTTAGCATCACAATCTGAAGGGTTACACTTTCTGTTAAAGATGATGTATTTAAAAATGCTCCAAAGCTTATACTTAAATTGTTTTCTTAACAAATAAAACAAATGAATAAATATTTTTACTTCTAGTTTACATTTATGCACTACTATGTACTTGTCTATCATATACCGGTAAAATGCCAATAAAATGCATCAACATTTTTAATACACAAATAAAAATGCATCACCATGATTTATTTACCTCTCATGTCTATAAAGACAGAGAAGCAACTTACTTACATACATTTGTGCTTCAAATTGATTGATGATATCCAAGAAACTACTGAGTGTGACTCGGCATATCATTCAGGATGACTACCACCATAAAACTGTCAACTGTCACCTATTATCTGATCAGAAGGGAAAGTTGTGCAGCATGCGAATATAGCAGCCTAAATAAAAACAGGAAGAAACCAATCTGTGTTAGGTTGTCAATTATGCATATTTTGGGCAGTGTACATGAAATTAATAATAATTTAAGATAAATGAAGCCTATGCGGAAGTTCAACTGAAGGAACTGATTACTTACCCTCATTTGCCTCTGACTCTGGCTAATCAGCTTTGAACCACACCTCCAGGAAATCAATCAGCATCCAGAGTTCATCATAATAGGTCTCCAAATCCACAACTCAGTCTGCTACTCAAACCGCAAAGGCAGTGGTTGGGCTATGTCTGACTTCGATTCAGATGACCCCGATTCAACCCACCTCCAGCCCCTTCTCCACCATTGTAGCTAAAGCTTCATCAGAGTGTCATTCGTCTTGGACTCTTACTGCGTTCCCTGTCTCATCTCAATCGGTCCGGCAGAAGACCGCCATGTTGAGCCTGGTTCTGCCAGAGGTTTCTTCCCAACGGGGACTTTTTCCTCTCCACTGTCGCTTCGTGCATCATGGACAGGTTCACGCAACCTGTTTTATCCAAGCTGGACTTCCATCTTCCAGCCCTGCGTGAAGCACTAGTATCAGCTCACGCAATCCACTGGATCTCTTCTTTCAGCTCCAGCACACTGCCTCACCAACCAGCAGTCTATGGACTGACCAACTTCATCTATCTCCACATCCCTGTTCTTTACTCCTATTCATGCAAATCAAAGCAAAATTCAATGCTAATGTTTCCTGCCAAGTTCTAAGCACCAAAGACTAAAGTAATTGTACCATTAAAATTCTTCTAATTGTCTTTTTCTTTCTTGAGTTTTTCCAGCTTAAAACACTTTTAAAATCTATGACCTATCTAATTAGTAACATACAGAAAAGTAGAAGTACTAGTACAAAATGATTATCTGCCAGGGGTAAAAATGGTCAAAAAACGAAAACCCATTGAAAGTTCATTCATAAATGTAGTTATAAGATAGTCATGTCTACCAAGTGTCCATTTTAACCATCATTTCCAAGTCATTAATAGCCACTGCTAATATGTGGTGTGAGCTCAACCACCATTTCAGTGAATAAACAGGCTCATGGGTTAACAGCTGCTCATTGCAGTCACATAAAATCTAAGCACAGCTGCAATAATTCTTATAATACCTACTTTGCTTCCACCTGTTGGTATTAGCAGGTAATAACACCATATCAAGCTTTTTTTTTTTTTTTTTTTTTTTAGATTTTTCATTTAGCCCCTCTTTGTTCTCTTGCAGCGTGAGTGCATCTCTGTCCATGTGGGCCAGGCTGGTGTGCAGATGGGGAACACCTGCTGGGAGCTCTACTGTCTGGAGCACGGTATCCAGCCAAACGGCCAGATGGTTGGTGATAGGCCCCTGGCTGATAATGAGGACTCCTTCACCACTTTCTTTAGTGAAACTGGTGCTAAGAAATACGTCCCAAGGGCAATTTTTGTCGATTTGGAGCCCAGTGTTATTGGTCAGTATTTTTATTTTATCTTTTTTGAATGTTGACATTCTGATTTAGCTGTAGAGAAAGCAAAGTTCAGTAGGAAGTTTGGTTTTTCTAATTAAATACATAAAAATCAAACTAATATTCAGGATAGAAATCCTCATAGGTTGCCTACCCTTGCCTGCAAACTGATTTCTTGCAGTATTTGTTTACAAACCACAAACACACAGAATCCATCTTGCACCACCTCAGCTTAAAGCATTAAATTCCCACACATGGGTTGGCCAAGCCCTTTGCAGTATTAAGGCTTTGGCAGGACATATAGCTGTGATGAAAGCAAGATTTGCAGAGGCCACAGTAAAATAAACATGGCAGTGCAGGAGGCTGTATCCTTCCCTGCTCGAATTCAACTTTTTATTGTCATTCCACTGTCACAAGTACAGAGCAACGAAATGAATTCTCTGCATTTAACCCATCCCCTTGGGGAGCAGTGGGCTGCCATTGTGAGGCGCCCGGGGAGCAGTGTGGGGTTAAGGGTCTTGCTCAGGCACCCAGAGTGGCAGTCTGTGGGAGTGGGGGATCGAACTCACAACCTCAGAATTCAAAGCCCAATGCCCTAACCACTAGGCCGCCACTCCCCATCATAATGCTATAATATTTTTTTTTATTAGAATCCATGATTACATCGTTGAAAGAGGAAAAACAAGGGTGTAAAGTTGTGACCGATGTCACCGGTACAGGAGTTGTTTCTTACTGACTGACTAACTAAACTGTGTTTAAAAATATAACTGTCAACATAATGCATCTGCTAAAATATTTCTCATATTTTGCGGTTTATCATTAAAATTATCAAGAATTTAAGAGCAGCCTTAAAGGAATAGAAATGTTTCATTTTAGATTTTCTCCTTGTGGCATACTTTTTCTCTCAGGTATCGCTCAACTTATCTAAAATGAAAGTTAATTTCAAATTTACTCTTAGTTTATTTACTGGTTTTACTGTGCTTGTTGTTTTAAAATTATGATTTAGAAGCCTAGTCCTTAAGCATCCTCATTCACATTTTCCCCTAAATATTCACAATATGATAAATGTTATTGGATGCATCTAAAAATATCAAAGATAATTTAAATTTAAACATAGATATGAAATAATCCAATATAACCTATGATAAGTTGAATTATATCATTGTGCTACTAGGTCATCAAATCAATTCAGTTTAGTCTGTCAAATAAGGTGCCTGTAGTGTCTTTAAAGGTCCAGCAGGTGTCAGTATTCTGTTAGACAGTATCCATGTGTCGAAACGCTTCAAGATGCCTCATTAACCCATCACTAGTGATTGGTATTTGCCTTGTTTACTAGGCTTTAATTCAACAACAACAACAAAAAAAGTCTTATCAGAAAAGTTTAAAGGTGCTAAATTAGTGTAGAGGAGTGAATACATCTATGTTCAGAAATAAATGAACTAAAATTTGTAAGAAATTGAAGGAGAAACATCTGGTAGTATAAAGAATTAGAATAATGGCATATAAATTATAGTAGGTTTAAGAGTGAAATTGAAAACAATGTTTGCTCGATATTTCGGCCAGGTATTAAATAAGTCTTTTTTTTATTTGATGCATATAATGGTGGATTAATTCATTTACTGTATTTATTTAAAAAAATTATTTCTAATAACGGCACAAATGGTTCTCCTCTTCTTTTTCAAACTTTCTTCTTCTAAACTATCAGATGAAATAAAAATTGGATCATACCGTCAACTCTTCCACCCTGAACAGCTGATATCTGGAAAGGAAGATGCTGCTAACAACTATGCTCGGGGTCACTACACTATCGGCAGAGAGATTATTGACTCTGTCCTGGACAAGATCCGCAAACTGGTAACTAACACATTTTTTTTATATGGAACTATATTCAAGAAAAATTAAAGATTCAATTAAAATGGCAATGATTTTTTATCCAGTCAGACTCAACAAAATTACAAGTAAGAAAACTATACAAGCAGTAGGAGAAGGATTTGATTGGTGTTTATGTGTTTTCACACCTACAGGCTGATCAGTGTTCTGGTCTCCAAGGATTCTTGGTTTTCCACTCTTTTGGTGGCGGAACAGGTTCTGGTTTCACCTCGCTGCTCATGGAAAGACTTTCTGTCGACTACGGCAAAAAGTCAAAGCTTGAGTTTGCCATCTACCCAGCTCCCCAGGTTTCCACTGCAGTAGTAGAGCCTTACAACTCCATTCTGACCACCCATACCACCCTGGAGCACTCTGACTGTGCCTTCATGGTGGATAATGAAGCCATCTATGATATCTGCTGCAGGAACCTTGATATTGAACGTCCTTCTTATACTAATCTAAACCGTCTCATCAGTCAGATTGTGTCTTCAATCACAGCATCCCTTCGCTTTGATGGAGCTCTGAATGTTGACCTGACAGAGTTCCAGACAAACTTGGTGCCTTATCCTCGCATCCACTTCCCTCTGGCTACCTATGCTCCAGTTATCTCTGCCGAAAAGGCCTACCATGAGCAGATGTCTGTTGCTGAAATCACAAATGCCTGCTTTGAACCAGCTAATCAGATGGTGAAGTGTGACCCACGTCATGGTAAATACATGGCATGCTGTTTGCTGTATCGTGGTGATGTTGTGCCCAAAGATGTAAATACAGCCATCAGCAGTATCAAGACTAAACGCACCATCCAGTTTGTGGACTGGTGCCCCACAGGCTTTAAGGTTGGCATCAACTACCAGCCACCAACTGTGGTTCCTGGAGGAGACCTGGCTAAGGTGCAGAGAGCTGTGTGCATGCTGAGCAACACCACAGCAATCGCTGAGGCCTGGGCTCGACTAGACCACAAGTTTGATCTCATGTATGCCAAGAGAGCCTTTGTCCACTGGTATGTTGGAGAGGGAATGGAGGAGGGAGAGTTCGCTGAGGCCAGGGAAGACATGGCTGCTTTGGAAAAGGATTACGAAGAAGTTGGCGTCGACTCATTTGATGAAGAGGAGGAAGATGACGAATATTAAAAAAGAATCAAAATACTACTTTTTTTATTTACGAGAGGAACCCACTTAGGTGTAAATTTAAAATTCACAAATATTTGGTTTCTTTTAATCACAGTTTTAAACTTCTATTTGTCCTGTTTCCTGTTCTTATGAAAATTATTATTTTAGGTTTGTTTTGGGTGTTCATTTATCCTTATTAAAACATTAAAGCTTAGTGATGTGCTATTTGAATTTCAAAAGGTATTATTGCTCAATAAAAGCTTATTCTGAAAATACATTAGGTTTGTATTTTTGTGTATTTAAAGCCAAATCCAAGGTAAAGTCACAATTTTTAACTGGATTCGGTATGTACTGAAGGCAGCTTTAAGGTTTGGAACAGGTATTTTCATTTGAAGTACTAGATATTTATGTAAAGTGAAACAGCGTAGTTACCTCTGTGTTACAAATCTATCAAAGTACATAGGTTTTATGAAGCTGCAGCATATGCATTTGGCTGAAAGAAATATTCATGGTTCTTATTTCTAAGTATTCTTATAGCAAAATGAATAAAATTGATCTTCAAAAGACACACCTGGACATGCAGCAGGTTTTGAAGGATTTTAATCAAACATTAAAAATTTGTTTTCATGTTTACACCATAACAATTTATTACTAAATGAATGTAAATTATATAAAGTTGAACTAGTTTTTGCAAAAGTGTTAATTTCCCTTTAGTGTTCTTTTTTCACAGCAGAAACATTTTGGGTTTTCCTTTTATGTGTGAGAAGAAAATGTAAAGTTCTAAGGCCAGATTGTGACGTGCACCTCTGTATTTGTCATACCAGCAGATTATCTTTTTTTCTGGCTCTTCACAGCTTCTTCAGAATTATCTTGGAGGCTTGCTTTTATTGTTTATTTAGGGGATATTAGAAGAAAGCTGAGTATGGATGCATACCACATATTTCAGATGTTAATGTTTTTAAAGCCATGTTTTACTCATATCCAACATGTATATACCACTTTGAGTTGATATATAGAATCCCAACAAAACACTATTGAAATTTGAAGTTTTAATGTTACAAAATACAAAAAACATTTCAGAGACATGGGTTATCAAGAAAAGTCTACTTATATTTAATAAAGAGCTTATCAGAGACAGGGATATATGTAGAAAGGCAATAATAAATAACGTTTCTATACGTTTCTAATCCAAGATGTAATTTCTCCTCATATTTAATCTGAAGTAATGGAATACCAAGTATGTTGATTGTGTAATGTAAAAAAAAACAACAAAGGAACAAGTTACAAAAACATAAGATCATGAATGTCACTCTATCTATTTATATACTTAACTAAGTATAATAAATTTTGTCTCTTTGAAATGCAACAGAAAAAACTAAATACGTACACTTCCGACAACAATATTACGGCTTCCGTTCTTCTGTGAGCTAGCGACTTCTCATTGGTGGTTGCTAAGCAACGATACAGACGCCTTACCAGATTCCGGAAATGCGTGGCTGAGAGGAAAAAATGGCGTTTAACACATTGCATACGGCAGGTATATGTGTGGCACCAACGTATTTGTTTAGTTCTATTTTTTTGTCCATACTCGTCGCTTTTGCAGCAATAGAAACAATAAAGTGTGATGATGTTTTCAGTGCTAGTCGCACGGCTTCTGTGTCGGTCTCTGCAGCTAGGGATCTACGGTGAGTTACACCGTCATCTTTCTGAGAAATGCTAAATTTCAAACAATCGCATTTTCTTTTTTCTAGTAGGTGTTTTTTTTTTTTATGTACCCATCTGACAACAGTCTTCAATTTTCAAGTTTTTATTTGGATCCCCACTCCCTCTTCAGAAACATACACCCGAATCCATTGAAAAATTTATCAATTTAAAATCTTTCTACCTAAAATATGTATCCATGCTGTATGAGTGCACCTAAAAAGAGTAATTAAAAACATTTCTTCTTTAGTTGTATTCGGCCCAGAGATAAATGATTAAATACAGTTCCATAGAACTTAAATCACACGTCTGCTTCCTTGTAATTATTTTCTGTTTGCAGCAATCAAAACGTCTATTTGCCAAGTGTTGATATCTCTACTTTTTTCTAAAGTGGAAAATATTCAATAAAATGTGTTCCGATGTTTTTTAAGTAAACTTGATAAGTAATTTAGTTTATTTTTGTGTTAAGTTCTTCTGTTTTTTATTCGAACAGATACCTTTTATATGATGTAAATCCCCCTGAAGGGTTTAATTTGCGGAGAGATGTCTATATCCGCATGGCCTCTCTGGTGAAGACTTTGAGGAAGGAGGGGGATGACTGGGTATTAGTGCTCCCCCCATGGGGTCGCCTCTATCACTGGCAAAGTCCTGATATTCACCAGATTCGGATCCCATGGGGAGAGTTCTTCAGCCTGACCAGTCTGCAAGCAAATGTGCCAGTTATTGAGTATGAGGAATTTATGGCTGGTGAGTACATTTATTTGTACATTAATGGGTAAGGAAAACATTTTTTTTTTTTTTTTTTTTTTTTTTTATTGATTGTGCCAATAATGGAATGTTATCCTTTTTTCCCTAATTTTAGAAAATGGAGGCCCATTCATAGATACGGTTCTTGTGCTGCAAAACTATGCAGAGGGATGGACTGATGGAAAATGGGAGGAAAAGGTTGATGAGCGCCCCTGCATTGAGAAGCTCCTTTACACCAAAGATAAACAGGGAAACTATAGGTAAAAAAAAAAAAAAAGGACATACAGAGAATATACACAGGTCCCACAGTTGTGTTCAAGCTCAAGCCTTTTTACCTGTATAAGAGAAGCAGTCTTTATACTGGGGCCTGATATATTTTTTTAGTCTTTCAAACAATATCCGACGGTAAAACCATACCCTCTCTTCCATCAATTTCTATCAAAGTCATTTTGATATTTGCCAGACATCTATATAATTCCTTGCAATAGTCTAAACCACTGATTCTCAAAGTTTGGGTCGAGACCCCTCTTGATCAACCAGTAAGGGGTCTTGCGATCCACCATAGAAATTAAACTAAATAATATACAGTTATACTAAAATCCTTTAATATCATCTCTTAAAAGTACAAAACCAACTATTATGTTTATCAAAGCTGTTTGTACTTTTATCACATGGTTATCTGATTTCAGGGAAATGTTTGAATACTAATACCACTACCCAACTGGGTCAGTTGTCCCCTGGCCCTGGATGGAGGGGGGGGAGCCTGAACAAGAGAGTCTGGCTGCAGACCTGTACTGTCAGGACCCAGACGTGCACTATCAGGACCCTTTGTTACAGACCTGCAAAATGGGGTCTCCTGCACCGGCAGGACCGGCAGTTTATTCCAGAAGTTGTATTTGAAACCTTCGGGAATAGTGTGCAGGATGTGTTTGCTGCCAGATTAGAGTTTATGACAGTGTTAAACGGAGCATAGGAGCAGTATAAATTTAACAGTAAGCAAAAATCCTCATAGGACAGCCAACCTTAATTGTCGTTAATTCAATATCTTATAGACCAAATACCCTTTCATCCAGCCTTCACAATAAAGAGACTTATTTCTTGTCTATTATTCCAGATAGCAGCTCTGGGTCCTGACAGTGTATTTATTTATTGTTAAGATATTTGCAAAGATGCTCAATAAATTTGAATATACAAATATCAAGCAGAACCTTATGGCAACAGTCATACTTGTCTGCTGGTGAAAGCAAAGCTGTTGGCCTATCAGCTAGCTGTGGGACATCAATTCCCAGAGCTATATTTCATTCTTGATTATTTTGTGCAGCATTTGCCTCATAATAATCTTACTGGAAGAGAAGCTACAAAAATATATCAAACTATTATTTTTATTTACTAAAGCATTTTTAGATTTCTGAGATTTTTTGTTTTTTTCTTTGGCTTTAGCTCCTGCTCCCTAAGATGTTTAAGCAAGTGCCTGGATATTCATATAATGTTAACCAGATTGAGAGCACAACAGAAATGACAGAGAAGAATGATTTACCCCTATAAAATGGAAAGTCAAACAGAAATATTTCTTAGGCACTTTCAGGTCACATTTACTGAAGTATATGAATATCACATTTCTATGTTTTGCTGCTCTTTCCTGTCATCTTCATAATTGCATGTGTGTTTCTGCAGGGGCTGGTTTTGGGGCTATGAAGAAACAAGGGCTCGAAGCGTAACGTGTTTATCCGCTCAAGGCCATGCATCTATCATGGCTCCAGTTCTTCAAAAAAACTTCACAGCAACGTAAGTTCAATGATAAACTTCCCCTTATTGTAAACATAAGGACTTCTAAAATACTCAAATTCTAAATAAACTCACCAAAAGTAAGAATTTCAGCAAAAATACACGTACTTTTAACAGCCCTCTTCTTTATTCTAATACCAATCTAATAAAGGTTTGAGGCATGCCCTGTGATGCATAGATTAGAATAATCTCTTAATACCTTCATTTTCTCTGGGGTTAAAAACTGTTCTCTATCAGATGACATGCTGGACTTTTTTCTGTTTGTGTTAATCCCTTGAATGCCCATTGTTGCAAATATGCAAAAAAAAAAAACTTAAGACTTAAACAGTCAAGATGTATATTTGCTCAGTGCCAGCTATCGCACATTCAGTGAGAACCTAGGAACCTTTGGTAAGCTCTTGGTTCTGTTAAAACTCTTCCTTATTGGTGTATAAATGTTGTTATAAATGCTGTCACTAATTTGTAATTTACCGACATTTCTAGTTATGTTTGAAATCAAATAGAAAGTTAAAACCTCTCCACTTGACAACTAGTTAAAGGCAGAAAATGTGTGTATGTGCATGTCTGTATATATATATATTTATATATATATATATATATATATATATATATATGTGTATATATATATATATATATATATATATATATATATATGTATGTATATATATGTATTTATTATTATAATTTATTTTTATTTATTTTTATTGTATTTTTTTAAATAATAATAAATACATTATTATTATTATCATTTATTTTTACAGACATGCACATACACACATTTTCTGCCTTTAACTAGTTGTCAAGTGGAGAGGTTTTAACTTTCTATTTGATTTCAAACATAACTAGAAATGTCGGTAAATTACAAATTAGTGACAGCATTTATAACAACATTTATACACCAATAAGGAAGAGTTTTAACGGAACCAAGAGCTTACCAAAGGTTCCCCATGGTTTCCCATAACCTGTTCTCTGTTCGTTAGCAAGGAGAAGCTGATCTGACTTCTTTGTACGACTCTTTGACCTCTTGACAATTGGACTGAATAAACTTGTTTATTTTCTGTTCTGTTTTTTATTCTTTTTGTTTTATTTTTAGCTCAGTCATGCTTGATAGAGCAGAGACTCTTCTACATGATCACTATGCTGGAAAAGACTACTGGGATGTAAGTCGAAAAATCCTATTTTAGACCTTTTGTTTAGAGGAAATGTATATTTCTTTTCTTTTTTTCTTCATAACAGTGGTGAAGACCAAATCTGGAAGAAGTTCTTTTCTCTCATAGAAATGCAAATGTCCTTTGACTGCATGCTAAGAGAGCCAAACTTTGTTGTCTGTTATCTAGAAGTATTTTTAAAACAGATTTCACTTCATTTAGACCCGCCGCAGCATGGTTTTTGCCAAACACCTGCGACTAATAGGAGATGACTTCAGAGCAAAATATCTGAACTCCACAGATGATCGAGATCATACAGCATATAATGAAGACTGGACCCGCATGAGAGTGAGTCATTGTGTATCCTATTATGCTGCGATTTGTGTGATTATTCCTCTTCATGGAAATCTTGACAGCCTGAAATGTTTACCTCATGTCTGATATTTACTTTTCCATTGATGTACAGTATAAGCCTGTTTGAAGTGGGCTGTGTGATGTACTCATTCAAAGTGGGTGAATTATGTAATGTATTATACTATATAATGACTACCCTGTCAGACAAGAAATCAGAAATAATGAATACATGGTATGGACCATTGGCAAAGAAAACAGAAACCACAAAATGTATTAAATCTTTGCCAGCTAACACCCATCTAGAAAAGGCGAGCCTTTGGTAATTGTATTCAGGCTGTATATTTTCTTTACATTAATGGATGGGTAACAAGAATACAGTCAAATACAATGCAATCAAATTCTGAAATATAAAATGAAACAGCGTTGGAGATATGGTAAACACCGTTAGTGTGTGTTCATTCTATTATCAGTATTTATTTTCTTAGTAGATAACAAACAATATGATATTGTCCTTCTCTATTTATAGCAACATTTCAATTGTCAGTGTTGTTTGAACATGTAAGCTCGGCATTCTGAGGGGGGTGGAAATTCAATTGCTGAAAGACACCCCAAATATACAGAGATTTATGAAATCTGTCCTCATGTCCACAGTGAATCTCAAATAGGGGCTAAATCCAAAGTCAGCGATGCAGTAGACTTTCTCATATCAGCCCATATAAACCTTTTGAAGCAGTCTAGATTTAGTCTAGAGTCTAGACAAAATCCAATAGAAAAAATCGGACTTGCAAATGTATGTTGAAACATTCTAGTTTCAGCCTGACTGATCTTTGGGAAAACCGGAAGACTTGGAGCATTAAAACCTGGTTATACAAAGTATTGATTGGAGTGTTACAGTGACTATGGAAAATATTCATACCCCTTTAAAATGTTTACCCTTTGTTTCATTGCAGCCATTTTCTAAAATTAATACAGTTAATTTCATTTTTTCTCATTCATTTACACTTAGCACCAATCTTGGTGGAAAAAAAAACAAATATAGAAACTTTTGCAAATTTAATAAAAAAGAAAACCTGAAACATCAATTTGTCATAAGTATTCAGACCCTTTGCTCAGTATTGAGTAGAAGCACCCTTTTGAGCTTGTACAGCCATGAGTCTTATTAGAAATGATGCAACAAGTTTTTCACACCTGGATTTGGGGATCCTTTTCCATTCTTCCTTGCAGATCCTCTCTAGTTCTGTCAGGTTGGATGGTGAGCATTGGTGGATGGCTATTTTCAGGTCTCTCCAGAGATGTTCAATTGGGTGCAGGACAGGGCTCTGGATGGGCCAGTCAAGAATTGTCACAGAGTTGTTCCCAAGCCACTCCTTTGTTATTTTAGCTGTGTGCTAAGGGTCATTGTCTTGTTGGAAGGTGAACCTTTGGCCCAGTCTGAGGTTCTGAGCGCTTCGGAAGAGCTTTTCTTCTAGGATATCTCTGTACTTGGCCGCATTAATTTTTCCTTCAATTGCAACCAGTCATCCTGTCCCTGCAGCTGTAAGGCCTTATATAAAAAACGTGTGTGCCTTTCTTAATCAAGTCCAATCAGTTCAATTAAACACAGCTGGACTCTAATAAAGAAGCAGAACTATCTCAAGGAGGATCAGAAGAAATGGACGGCATGGGAATTGAATATGAGTGTCACAGCAAAGGGTTTGAATATTTATAAGCATTTGTTTTACAGTTTATCTTTTTTAATAAATTTGCAAAAATTTCTACATTTCTGTTTTCTGTCAAGATGTTGTGCTGAGTGTACATTAATGAGAAATAAAATTAACTTTTTTGATTTTAGCAAATGGCTGCAATGAAACAAAGCCTGAAAAAATTAAAGGGGTTTGAATACTTTCTGTACCCACTGTACCAATGCAGACCACAACTTTCAGAATATTATTTGTGTACATTTCATTTTTCTTAAAGATCATAGATATTCACTATATTGCATTTGTCAATCTCAAAAACCTGATTGAAAATATTGAAGTCTGTGGTTTTAGTGTGGTTTTAAATGTTTTTTACTGATTCTGATAATGTTGAAAAGGAAACGGGTTATATCTCAAAGAAAGAATAATGCACCAGTTAAAACATATATATATATATATATATATATATATTTTTTTTATATCCTATCAGGCCAAGCCCGGCTCTGCTGTAGGAGGGCCATATCTAGCTGTTCATCTTCGCAGAAAGGACTTCATTTGGGGTCACAGAGATGATGTGCCTAGCCTGAAAGGGGCGGCTAAAAAAATACTAAGTTTAATGAAGAAACACAAACTTCAGACGGTTTTTGTTGCCACTGACGCAGATGGAGAAGGTAATGCAGACTAGCTTATCTCAAAGAAGTCATTTTGAAGAAAAAAATGTTATACTTGGAGTGTATTAATATAGAATCTATGATTTTTTTTTTTGTTATCTTCCATCCCATGTTAAAAAGTATGATTTGTATTACATTTATTGTATTAAAGCATTGATTCATCCAAAATAAATAAATTAATAAATCTGGTAATTATGGTTTCATCCATCTAGAAATCAGGGAGCTGAAAAGATTGTTGCCAGAGATGGTGCGCTTTGAGCCAACCAAAGACGACTTGGAGTTGCTCAGAGATGGAGGAGTTGCTATTATTGACCAGTGGATATGCGCTCATGCAAGGTAATAATTTTCATAACAGATTGTATTCGACTGTCTTCTGTTTCACATGATAAACATTCTTTTAGCTTTTTTCCAGACTTTGAATAATTGATAGTCTCTAGTAACTTAAGCAAATGAAATAACCTTGAAATACAGTATATACACTTCATGTAGACTTAAGCACAGACCTACGAACCTTTTGCTTTAACAGAAAAGGAGGACATTTTTTAAAGAAAATATCGGAAGATAATTTATGTTATAGAGAGCTGAATGAAATGCAGACAATAATGTTAAGCATGTTTTTAACATCCAGATCAAAATATGTGTCACTTGATCTTTGCGTTGAATTGTCACAGTAGTACTTTAAGCATACTAATAGGCGAAACTAAAACAGTTTTAGGTTTAAATCTTAACGGTGAATAATTTGCTGAAGTTGCAATATTAGGCCTCAAAACCAAATTACATTCTCAATACTTTCTGGAAAATGAATATGTCACCTACGGACATAATTTGGGGGGCGGGGGATACAGGGGACATGTCCCCTGCAATTTTTACTGTCCAAATAAAACAATGTTAAGCTAAAGTACGCAGACAATAGTCGAGCACTAGGACCAAGTGAAAAACCGCCGCTCAAGCTGGAGCCCGTTTACCTGAGTCCCAGCCACAAGCTCCTGATTGGACCTGAGTCTTTTCTTGTGTTATTGGCTGTCACCACTGTCACTCATGAGAAGCTCGCTTTACAAATATCTGATGTGCTACTGAATCGGGTCCATGAAAGGTCTTGTAGAACAATGTGGCTCTGCAAAAGATGCTACTGTAAATTATGCACCTAACCTAATCTAGAAGTGTTGTCATTTATGGTGTATTCATTTACATGGATCTTTAAATTGGTCTTGTGTGTGCATATGTGTGGTTATTTGACTCACAGCCAGGATGTCTGAAAAATTTAAGGAAGACATAAGATTCTTTTTTAAAAGTCGAAGTGTCAGTTACGTTCAAAGAGCTGTGTAACAACCCCCTACAACTCCTGGCATATCCACTTCAAGATCCTTCACCGCATTATAAAGCTCTCAGTAACCTTGTAAATTATATTCATTTTATTAAAAGTTCTGATACATCAAATGTATCACAGTTATATATTATTATCATCAAAAAAGGATAGAAATACGATCTCTGAATGTGATTTTTTTATATCCATGCTCATAATAATAGTAAAACTATGTTTTTTGAATCTAGATGGATCGTTGTACCCCAAATTGCCCAATTGATCATGTCATGCATCAATATAATTTGTCAGAAATTATGGAGGAAACAAACAGAAGAATCATTAGAAATAACTTATATATAGTAGTTATATTAATAAATACTTGCGCCCCCGCCCACTTCTGAAATCCTTTTTCTGCATAAGAGCATTGTGTTTTGGTAATGAATAGAAACCTCATACAATACATTTAGCTTAACTTCAAATATCTCAGATGTTTCAGCCACATCATCATGTGATGAATGAAAATCCCTTAACCTGATCCACTGGTCTCGGTGACTCATGCTGTTTCTCACCTCATCACGGAACATTCTAAAGTAACTTTATATGCCTTTTTTTCCCCAGCTGTGCTTCATGTATATCTTTAATCACTTGTTTCCAGGTTCTTTATCGGTACATCTGTGTCCACCTTCTCTTTCCGGATCCACGAAGAGAGGGAAATCTTGGGGTTTGACCCCAAAACGACATACAACCGCTTCTGTGGAGACTCAGAGAAAAACTGTGAACAGCCCACACACTGGAAAATCGTCTACTAACTTTAACTCTGCCTTTCCAGAAACACTAGTGCCAAGAGGGGCATTACTTCAGACAGATTTATAAAAAAAACAAAAAAAAAACACCTGTTACAGTATTTTATTTGTATTGGTTCCACTGTTAGATGGCCACTGTGTATTTAGGTCGTGCTTAAAAAGTTGAAACTCTGCTGCTAAATATTGTAAACTTTAGAAATTCAATTTGTATACAGTTTTATTTAGGTAGATGGTCAGTGTAAATCCTTCATAAAGTGTAATTTCTCCTGAATAATTTTGAAAATATGTATTTTTAACTCAAAAGGGTGAAGTGAAATATGGCCTGTGCTGCAGTATTGTCTCTGTATTTAGCTTAATTTAATGTTATTAAAATATTTTTTACTCTTTAAGAATCTTTCATGATGTGCTTTAAGAATAAAAAAAAAAGCAAAAGGATGAAAGAAGAAACAACACAAGAAGCTTCTAGAAGGAACGTTATACAATGTATTTAAGAAACTATACAAGTAAATAAAAAGCATTTTTTTACCCCCAGACAAGAAATATGCTTTAATAAGATGATTTATTTCAATAATCCAATTCAAAATGGGAGACTTTAGAATACATTTCTATTGATTAGTGATGTGTTTCTAGTGTTTATTTAGATCTATCTAATTATTAAGAGTTGCAGCTATTGAAAAGCAAAAATTCTAAAAAATTAGTATATCAACGGGTGGACAACAAGTCTAAATTTTAGAAGATTTTTTTAGAAAGACATGTTAGCATGATGATTAGTATTTAAGTAAAGTGTTTTCAGTTTATCAGTGTTCCTCATTGTTAATTACATCATCTTAAAATAACATAATTTCTTATTACAAACCTTTTTTATTTTAGCCTGGTATATAAAATAACTGGGGGAGAAAAACTAGATCTGAAATTAACAAAGAGTTTTCTTTAAAAATATATGGATCTTTATTTTCTAGAGAGAGTGTTTCAGTGTCTGAGTTTGGTAAATGTTAAAAGGTGAGAAAGATGAAGAAATAGATGGTAAGTACTACATTTAAAGGAATGTTTCAGATGGCTACCTCATGACTTCATGACTTTCACAAAGAAAAGATGGCCGTTTCACCTAGAATCCAGTAAGGCCCAACCCTGAGGTTTTTATGAACAAGGTTATTGAGATGATGATGATGATATAGCTTTTGCTAATGAAAGGAAAGAATGTGGCTGTTGCTCTGACAACCTCTTGAAAGCTTATTTGAATTTTGTAAATATAACAGAATCATGTCTGTACTTCCTAAACCTTTAAAGCTTCCATCAATCCCTACATGGGGATTTAAAGCCGTGTTTCCTTTACCTTAGCTGTGCAAGGTGAATGCATGAGGGAAAAAAGTCAGCTTTTCCCAGTTGATTTTCCTCGTGATACTGTTTGTTGTCTGATCCCAGTGGACAACCACACCATCTCAACAACAGCCTACAAAAATAATAGAGTGTATTTGATACTATCATCCAAACCTTTACATCTAGAACTATATTTTTGGATTTTAATGAAATCACATCTGTCAGATATCAACTCCTTTATTATTAAAGTATGAAAGAACACATGATTAATCAACACCAGCAGATAAGATGACTAATGCTGCAAGAAATCAGATAATCTGCCTTCTAAGAAAGCACTTATTTAATTAGAGGTAAATTATGTTTGATAATCATGGTTATGTAAAGCTGATTTTTCTGAAAGACCTTTTAGCAGGTTTTAAACATACTTTTCATTAGGCCAGTATTGTTGTATTCAAGGTGTATTTTTGTTTCTTTTTCATCAGTTTAATGTGATATTCTTAGTCCTTCATGATGAAGTGGATCTTTGACTTGTTTTGAATACCGAATGCAACAGAAAGGGCATCTGGCCTTAAAACTGCTAAGTCTGTGTTCAAGCTCTAATGACTTGATGTGGCCACCTCGGAAGAAAAGAGCCGCTGAAAGGATTCATCATCAGGGTGATATTAAAAATGTAAAAAGAAAAGCATCAAAAAGGCCAAAAATAAAGGCTTGAAAACACCTGTCTGTGTGTAATTAATTGATACAATGTTTCTTAGTAACCAAATGTATTAAATAAGTTCTTCATGATCATGTACTTTATTCAACACTATATTTATTTATTTGTTTCCAATAAGTGGTCAATTATGTTTTGAAATTACAAGACTTGAATGAGAGTTTTAATGGGAAGTTTCAGATACTATCAGTCCAATACCTAACAAAATACTGTATGAAAGTCATAAGTAAAGATAAACCTGTGATGGCTTTAAACTTTCACATGATGATATCAGGGTGAAAAAAACAGCAAAGCTTCCTTAATCATTTTTGAAGCAGTTTTTTCTATATGTCATATGTCCCCTAAACTGTAAAGGCCCAACCCTGAATGTTCCTGTTTGCATTAATACAAAAGATCTGGTAAATGGAAAGAATGTATTTCTTGCTCGACCTGCTTGACAATGGCTCGTTTAGCGAGTCTGGTTGAAAGTTCAGGGAAATAGCTTTGTCTTTGTTATGTGTTGGTATGAGGAACAGTGTTTCAACTTAAAATTAATATCTTTTTTCTTTGCAAACACTATTTCTATACCTTTGTAACTCTCATCATTTACTAAGATTTAATGCTCTGTACCGTGTATCTTAGATATAAAGGAGGGTTAATTTATCCCGGTGGATTTCTTTCCGTGATATTGTGTGACTAAGGCCTCTGGGGACCATTACTGTCTTAACAACAGCTTACAGACAGACTGCGTTATTTGATGCATTTGTGCCATTATGGTACCTTTAAGAATAAAGAATAATGGCTTGTATTACCTTAAAACTCCTGTCTCTTTTAATATATCTTACACAATCTATCTCTGTACTATATTTATGTATATTTATATGAGTATCCACAGAATTATGATTCAAGTTATAGTGCTTACCATGGCAAACTTAAATGTTAAAACCTGCTCTCTAACGCTAGATCATAGAACTGTGTTAGTTTAATTTAAATATTACATCACAGATCCACCATCTGCATCTAATTTCTATTGGTCTGTTTGTTCAAGGAAGTGCTGTTTTTTTTTTTGTTTTTTTGTGCGTGTGTGTGTGTTTTTTTTCCTGTTAAGAACACAGTCACAGTACACGCCCTTTCACTGATCAACCAGTACAAAGAAAGTGTTTGTCACCCTCAGAACTACAGTGGCTTTCAGCAAGGTAAGGGTTCTTATTGCCATACCTCTGCAGAGTCATTAAGGGACATTTTCTGGTTATGAAATTTAATCTTTGAATTTTTTTTTCAGGATTTTCTATTTTCTTTAACAAAGTCCTGATGGAAAGAGCATCTTGTTAGGATTTACCTCCTGCAGCAAGATGTCCTTCATATTAAGCCTGCGGAAATCACCTAGATAGCGATAAACCTAAAAAGAATTACAAGAACAACTGTGTTCAGGTAGGTCAAATTTTTATTCTTACAACAAAATGTATTATTAAGCAAAAATATAGCAATACTTAAGAATACTTTCTATATGCTGATTAAAAAGAGAAAAACAAGAAAAGCTCACTTTCTTTTAATGTTTTAGTTTTAGCTTATTCTACACAAGGTTATGTCTCTTCCTTTTATTAAAAGAAGAATTACAATATGATAGTAAACTGCTTGGAAATGTCTGACTATTTTTAGCCAACATTTGCATGAAGTTTGCAGAACATTTTAGATTTGTTGCTGAGGTGGACGACTTTGTTGAGGATATCATTTATGTTCTTAAAATTAAATAAAAAAATTTCAGGTTGAAAAAATGAAGACTGAAGTTGAAATTCTAAATTACAAAGTTCTTATCAACCATTTTGTATTTATTTCACAACAAAAACAAAGGATAAAAGTTTTTTAATAGAGTAACACTTCAGTATTAAATATTGATAGTAGAATCATTTAACATTGTTTAACACCTATAGATTCTAAACTTGGAAGTAAAAGATCATGAATTGTATTTGGGGAGATTCTCATAGCCGTGCTTCAGGGTTAGATGTTAATAAATACCACATGAAATACCAGTTCCCGAAATGCTATTTTCTGCTTCAGTTTAGTTAAACACTAACTCTCACAATGGAAATATAAACATAGATGAACACCATCGTTCAGGTATTTATATTTACCTTGTTAGTAACATATATTACAATTTTATCTGCATACAATTAAAAGGAAGCATATGAAGGTTGTAGCCCTGTTGAGGAACGAATAGTTGGTTTATGTAAAATTTCTGTCCTTACATAATTTGTTTATAGTTTTTCTTCAGTATCACTATGCTGTGACTGAAACCCTCAAATATATTTCTAGTGCTCAGTAGAAAGACCTCATATACTTTAGCCTAAAAACTAATGATGAACATGTCCCTGAACTGATGTAATTATCTTTCATCTGTTTTTTAGCCTTCCTGAGCTGATGGCCTTCTTCAGACAACTGAAACTTCTTCTCTGGAAGAATGGACTGGGCGTCATCAGACAGCCGGTGGGTGCCTGTCCTGTTCCATGGACTCTTTTATTCAGATATTTAAAATGAGAGACAAACAAAACAACAACAAAAAAATATTTCATTAAACTTGCAGTTGGATTACAGTCCCTAAAATGATATAACTTTACTGATGCTTATGATGTCTTATTTTATAGTTATGGTCCATTACCCTGATTACCTGGCCTTTGATCATCTTCATCCTCATAGCTGTGACTCGTCACCATTTTGCACCAGTTGTAAAAGATACATGTAAGTATGAGATTGCAGCAAATAAAGTTTCAAAGGGATTTACAGAAGTGAATCAAAAGCTTATGAATGTTAAATGCCATTAGATCAAGAATTTATACAGAACGTTAAGCCAAAGGCAGTAGAAGTAAAACAGTTTTTAATTTTTGTGTGCACTTTCCTAAAGCTTTATATTTTTATTTATGAAATCTACATTTATATGAATTGTATCCCAAGTGTCTTTTTAGCTGTTGTCAATTTCTTTTTTTGTATTTGAAATGAGCAAAAGGGTCAGTCCAAAATTACCCTCAGGTTCTGTAGAAACCTAAGAATACATTTATATGAGGCTGAGACGTCAGGATTAAAATATGCATAACTTCATTACTTTGCTGTCAATCAATGTAGTCAGTGGCTTTATGCTTAAGGACTTTAAAGTTTCTTAATCTAAGCAAACAAGTAAAGAATTGAACTCCCAATACCAACTCCCCTTCTAAACAAAGCTGGTTATGCAAATATTGAACTGACATTTGTATGCTTTTATTTATTCTATTACTTTGGAAAATATAGCTTTCGGAAGGAGTGGCATAGACATTCTTTTGAGTGCCCATTTTTAGCCCAAGTTGAAAATGCAGGTATTGAAAGAGGGCTGAAAAATGACCAGTTACCAAGTGTTGACTTAGTTCCCAAACATACAGTATGAGAATTTTTTTTTGGTATTGAAGTAAAAATGCAGCCTGTAATCAAAAAATCAGTGTTAATATCTGGATTGGAAACAGCATAAGAAAACACTGGTGAAATGCTCTTATGCGCCTTAGCCTACTCTCATTAGAGCATATTTAAGAAGTCAGTATGTCCATTAACCTTTCTTCAATAATAAACAATAATCAATGTTCCATACCCCAAGTCGGTAGTGGAAAATGGCCATTTTTATGCGGCCATATTGTCTGATATCTCAGATTTGCTGAAATGTGTACGCTTGACTTGGACTTGAAAAAAATGGGTTTAACCAAATCATATTTTTATAAGGTGCCTTGAGGAAACATGTTGTAAATTGACAATGTATAAATAAACTGAATTGAAAAATGACTCACACTGAATATAAAGAAAATATTCACTTTAGTGTGCTTTCTTTTATATGTTCTAGACATATCCACAGTAATACACCAAAAGCAAATAAATTGATAAAAAATAAAGTAAATTGAACTTTATTGATCTCACAATGGAGAAATTAAACTAAATATACCTATATATAAATACATAATTTTTTAATGTAATTGTCATAACTTTCAAGGTTTTATGCCATACTTTTTATTTTTCCAGAGGTCACCTGTCTTTTCAGTTTCACCATAACATTTAAAATCAGTGTGACTCAGTAAGCAATGCTGTGAGCAACTCAGAATTAATACCAGGAACGCGTTGTTCCATGAATAGTGGTAATTCCTCTTTCACAGCAACTTGATCTTGCCAATCATCACATGTCAGTTCTCTTTTGTTCTGCACTGTACCAAAAGCAAAGATTGTTTTTTTTCAACAAACAATAGCGTTCATTTTGCATAACATCTTTTGCTTTGTTTTATCTATTGGGGAAAATATGAAAAGAGATACTGAGAAATTCCATAGCATTGTTACTTCTAAGATGTTTTCTTTTTTTAAATAAAAAAAACAAGTCTGACTTCTCTGGTTTCTTAGCATTTAATTTGTTGAAAGCAATATTTATATGCATCTAAATCTAATAAGAAAAACGTTTAATTCCTCAAGGCTATGTTGGACCCCGGAACCTACCGAGCACAGGCTTCTTCCCTTTCCTGCAAACCCTCCTCTGCAACACAGACAGCAAATGTCACAACACATCTCGCTTGGCACACTCTGAGGCATCAAAGTCATCAAGGGAACGGAGGTAACCTTTCTATTATACCTTTACTTGGATCTTTGGAAAAATAAAAAAAATGTGTGTGATCACCACAAACTGACATACATTTGTTGAAGAAAATGATAAGTGCTTCACTTGTTTTTTGTTATTATTTCTGTTTTATTGTCCTTAGTGAAAATAATTAAGTTTCATTTAATGGATAAAGTGTGAAAAAAAGAAACCAGGTTACATGATACCAGTCTAAATGGGGGCAGCTGGTAGACAAACCAGTTTTTCAGGATGCCCGCCTTCATCTTGGGTTTGGATATTCAATAACAAAGTCTGACATTAACAAGGTTTCCTCATACAAAGAAAAAGACATCCATTTGTTATTACTTTTTCCTCAGAATTAAGGATGCACAGTACGGTCATAAAAACTAACCAAAGCTGTGAAAATGTTACAGTTTTATATCATATCTAATCATATCTAAACAGACATTATTTTGAGTGAACCTCTTTGAAACAGTCACAGGGCAGAAAAGGGTAGGGTCTTCCTGAGCGAGTTATGCATACCAAGGCCAGCTAACAGGTTTGTAAGCACAAGGAAAACCTTTTGTGTCGAGTGGATAGGATTGCAAAGTCATGCTAATAAACAAAGCTGTTCATTTCAAGCTACTGTGATTACAGGGTTAAACTGGCAAGCCCAAGTTTGGTATTTAATTTTCCATCTCCATTACTTTTTTCTTTTACCACTGTAAATATTTAATGTTAAAGATCTTGCATAAGATTAGTTGTAGAAGGCTGTAGAAGGGATATTCTGCTCAATATTTTAGTTTGTCCCTGATACGACTCACAGTCACAGAAGATTAGATACTTGCTACTGATCTGTTCCAATCTGATACAACAGTTAAATGTATAAAATCATTCCTATGTTTTTGCTTTATTTTTTACTAAACATAGTTCTGGCAAGAGAGCCTCAAATGTTGCCCTGAACACAGTGAACTGTTAAAACTAGGCCTTGTGTTGGTCATTCTATGGCTTGGGGTTGGTTCAACAAACTTACATCTTTCAGAGGATAGAGATTCCTTATGCAGAAATGCCCTTAGATTAAAATGAAATATTGAATAATTCTGTATTTTAATTTACTTATCAAAACTCTAGTTTTGCCTTAATCCCTAGCATTTGTTTTAAACGGTGTCTTAATGATATCTAGAAAGAAACATTGTACCAAAAGGAATAACATCTCTTAGGTTTAATTCCAGCAAATTCAACACGAAATGTTGAATTAGGGTTCACTGTTTTCTTTTTAAGTTAGAAAATAAACAAGTTGCTATTTTTACCATCCAATTGAGAATGAATATTCTATATTCTAATTATTTTTGTACTTATATATCAGGTCTGCCAATTTACCAAAGACATCTCCATTGGCAAGTCTGATGCAAGGAAAGAACTTCTTCAGCCAGGCTTTCCCTGATGACCCTAAAAATGATCCTGCAGAATTGGTTAAGCTCCTGGAAAACATTGTTGGTATGTTACTACTTTGGAGTTGTGTATGCTTAAACTGATTGTTTCTTCAAGTGATTATAAAGGTGATTATCCCCCATAACACACTTTAGACTTTAACTGCCTTCCTGTGTTAATTTTGTGTTTGTATTTTAAAGGCTCATCTACCAGAGCAAAATATCAAAATGTTCATCTCATGAATGCCCTTAACACCTCCTTCCATGATCAGGTGGGTATCAAAAAGTGTAATGGTTGAAAAAGCGATAAATATCAGACATCTCATTTGTTTATATTTCAATAGGAATACCAAAAAAATAGGGATACATTAAAAACAATATGAATGCAAACCAGGCCAAGTCCCAAAGAAAATGAGATGCTAATTAAGAGCATAAAAATATACTCCTTCAGTGACAGACTGCTGCACCCTAAATGCACCAAGGAGTGTTATCATAAATCCTTCCTCCCAGCAGCTGTAAGAGTTTATATCCATCACAGCTCACAACAACCTCAATAAGCTGTTAAATTTATGCTGATTTTGCCCAGTTTCTATCTTAGTTAAATAACATGCTGCTCTCATTTTGATCTCTGATGTTGCTGCTATTTTCAAATATCCATCTATAGCTGTATATTGGTTATTTATTCTCCAGGTGCACATTATTTATATTGTTAAAACACTTTAAGGTACAATATTTTATTTATTTATTTTTAACTCTTCCCTATTATCTTACTCCTTAAACACTTTTCTAAGGTCCATATTTGTTTTTTCTATAATATTTTTGCTTCTGTATAACCAGAATTTCCCAATTGTAGGACAATAAAGGGATTTTTTCTATTCTATTTTCTATTTCTATAACATTGATGTCAGTTGAGTCATAAGCACTGTTTATTGTAGTGGTGTAGAAATGTATAAAAAATCTGTAGATCTAAATGTATCTATCATAAAGTTGTATTTGCTTTAGGTGATTATGATCTATAAACCCTAAACTTAGGGTAGCTGTAAATGAGTAGATGGAGTACTTTATCCACTTTCCTATGGATGTTTGTCTGACTGTTGTAAAATATATCCTGTTTCTTGCAGGAGGCCATAAACACAATCATGGAGTCAGTGAACGTTTTCAAGAAAGCTATCTGCACTGTTGCATTTCCTTTGATAAACCAGACCTCACCCAACACAATCAGCAATGCTATGGTAACTTTCTGTAATTCCAACACCACTGCATTAGAAGCCTCACTTCAAACAATGAATAAGGTATGCTCAGTTTTGTTTTTCAAAACTTTTTGTCCTTCACATTAATGCGTGCATGTTACCTTTCAACTAGAGTGATGGTGTGATGGTTCAACAGCAAAAAATGCTGTGTTCCTTCTGTTCTATATAATCTTTTACATAGAAAAAGGTTGATAAATTGGTGATTTAACCCTTTCAGATTGAAGCTCAGATGTTTTGTTTTGCTCTTAGATATTTGAAGATCTGCTGCTGACCAGTCCAGAGGAGATGATGACAATGGGGGGAGAGATAGTTGTGCTCTTTGATCAGCTTCAAAATGAAACGTCACTGTGGGACACTCTTCTAGCTTTTCCCGAAGTCTTCACTTCAGATTCTTTTGATGACATGCTGAACAACACAAAAACCTTGCTCTCAAACATGCAGCGGTAATCTTTTACTGATGGAAGTTTTATATGAAAAAAGAGTTGTTTCTTAGATGTAGCCGATCAGGGCTTATTGATTACTTCTAATTGAGCTTAAGAACCAATATTTACAGCAGATTTCTTTATTCATTTGTTAGCTCACATACTTATTTACTTACTGTCTTCTATTTTTCTCAAATTGTCTGCAGCCTTTTGCGTTTCTTCCAAACCATGTCCCCTGACACTGCTGACTTACTCTATCAAGTGCATGCAGTGATTGACAACACCATTGATGTGATCCACTATGTCCAGAACTGGCCTGGAAAAGGTAAACATATGTTTTACTTAAGCTTACTTTCTTTTTACATACAATTACAATGTGAGCATAGAATCCTGCAATTTAAAGATGAACTCTATGAAAACTGTGTAAATACTTTGAATGTTCGTGCTAATGTGTGATTTAAATCTCGTAGGTGTTTCGATAACCCTTGGAGACATTGTCACGTTAAGGAATAACTCAGTCAGTGACATTGTCAAACAAATTTTACGGGAGGTTGACATACCTCTGCACCAGGTAAGCAAAACACCACTGGCTCTATTCTATGTGCTGCTGCTGTGATCCAAAACACCCAGCAGCAACAATATATTTAATCCTGTACTGTAATCAACCGTATACAAAGAAAAGAAGAATGTTTTATTTGCAGTAAAGGTTTTGATATTCCAGAAATGTGGCAAGCCTTCATAGTTCGGGTGTAGTCAAGCTATCTTTACAGCAATTGTCCTCTCTGTTCCAGGCTGTAGCGCTGATGTGGGACAAAGATATGGTGAACTCCTACTTGTGTGACAGCAGCAACAACACAATATGGCTAACAGCAGCATGCAGCACAGGCACTGTGGACATGCTCCTGAGCTGGATTTGTCCTGAAAAGCTGGCAATGGAGGTATGGTGGTAATTTAAGTGTCATCGTCTCAACAAAGGGAGCTCAGAAAATTAATTAGAATAACTGCCTTGTTGCTGTGTCATGATCCTAACTACAAAGAGTATGCCGGAAGCTTGACAACTACAGTTCTAGCTTCCTTATGAGAAACTCTTTGGGAAATGTATTACTATGTACCAGTTAATAAGCAGCCATAGCCATATGCATGTGTTTGCAACTCCTTTTTAGATTCTGTTTAACCATTTAGTTTTGGGTAGTGTAGTACTGAAAAGCCTTACATAGTGGGAGCATAATAAACTGCAAATTATACTTTTGATGCCGGTTATTACTAAAGCAGAGTATAACGTTATCATAAGCAGTTCATCTCATAAAATCTTCTTCGCTCACATATACTGAAACTTAATATATATGTACCCTTTTGTAATACTACATGTAATTACAGGACACAATATTTAGCTCATTATTAATCTTAAACTATTCCAAGTGATACTGTGCATGTATCATGTCCAGCAAGTTATATGGGTTCCATTGCCATAAAATATACTATTAATCGCTATTTTTAATCACTCTGTTTTTATTGCAAAACTCACAGTTAAAATAAAGACATCCCCCTGGTTGCTCAGGTTGCACAGCTGACATGTACATCTTTCTCACACCAGTCAAATTTTTTGGCAGTTTGTGTTTATTGGAGATCTTGAACTATGTGGTCGAACAGCTTCGAATACCAAACTTGCAGGTTAAGCTAGTAGTTTTGCAACCTCTTTTAACCTGATTGCTCTGACCTCTAAACAAGAATGCAGATGGTTGTTCATAACAAAACTGTAATGGGCACAGGGGATTTGGCAAAGTAAAGAAATAAATCATCTGTATCGAAGAATCATTATCGTTGTACTTTACTTTTCGAGCAGAAAGAGTACAAAGAAATATGCTGTACATAGAAATCAACATATAATACAGGTTATCTTGCTAAAAAAGGAGTGAGAATTGAAAACTTATAATAAGAAATAACACAAATGTGTTCATCTTTAACTTTTGTTATTAACTAAACCTTTCCATTAATTCGTTTTATACGCATCTGATTTTAAACCGAAAAAGCTTATTTTATTTGTTTATCTCATGTAACACATGCTCAGTATGTTCACATTTGGGATAAATGTTAATAAGTTAGAGTTATGTTTAATTCATTTTGTTTGTGTAGCTATCTCGCACAGAATGCATGATTAATTCTCCTTTTGTAGAAACTAAGCAAGAGCAGAGGCAAGAAGCAGCAGTTAGGATTTCCTCTTATTCTTTGTCCCTGCTTTTCATTTTATCAATACTATAACCATTAGGTCTTCCTGGCATGGACTAAGCATGTGGCAGCAGATGATGTGTCCTTTGTGAGAGACCTGGTGCAAAGTCTTATGGGGGTTGCATCCTCAGGAAAACAGGATCCCCACAGGTCCAAGCGCAGCATGGATGCAGAGCCACAAAGCGACGAGGAAGAACTGTAAGTACAGAAAGATGACTTGTCTACATGCAACTATTAATCTCAAGATTTTTTATTCTCAATTTTTTATATTTTAATAAATATATGTCATCTCAAAAATAAAAGAGTCTACTCTACAGAGCTGATGGAATTAAATGAGGCTGACTATTAGTATTTATTCCTAATGCAAGACAGTAAAAGAATACTTTTTTATTGTGTGGATTATTTTCACATTCTGTAGCTTTGCTTTCAAAGCTTTTCAACAGAAATATGTTTTATCTCCTTTGCTTCTTCTGTTTTTTTCTTTTAATCAAAAATGCTAACTTTCCAAAGTTTCTTTCCTCTTAATCTTGAAAATCTTTATTGTTTTTTTTTGGCTCTTACTCTTTCACTCAGTTACTTATCCCTTTAGTTTTAATTCAGACTTTGCTCTTTTGAAGGTTTTTGGGTGTCACTCAAGCACTGCTAGAGATCACCAAAATTGATCCTGAGCTGGACATGGTTGTTCACAGAGCTCTCAAAACCAGTTTCCAGTCCATGAAGGCAACAAGGGTGGCTTTGGTCACTGTACAAAGTAAGACTAGAAACAAAACATGTTTATAGCAAATCAGGTGTACTGTTTTTTCTTTTTTTATTTCATGTCGTACTTTAATATTTACTGTTGTATGATGATACATAAAGATACAACGATCAGGCTTTACCTTGCTAATGCTAATTTCAGTTTTTTTGAACAAAGGATGTATTTCTAAAGAGACTGTAACACATAAAAACAAAAAAACAAAAAACAAATGCAATAATTTAAAATATAATGAATCTTCGACTTATCTTTAATTTATCTGATTATAGGACTCTAACCATTAAATACTTTCACTAGGCCTTCAGAAAAATGCATGCCAATCAAGTAAAATTTTTTCGGATCTAAAGAGTTAAAGACTGGCAGCCTTACATAGTAAATATGTCCCTATTGATTGATTCAGTTATATTATATACATGTTCACTGCTGAGAAACTGAAAGCTGAATACTACAAGAATACACCCTTTCTCTTGGGACTGACAAAAAGAATCCTGACCTAAAAGGGGATTTTAGGTATTAAATGTTACACAGAAAAAAAAACCAATTAGGAACACAGCACTGATAATATGTTTTGTAAAGACAATTGTTAAAATGTGTTTGTTTTCCTGCCTTATATTTAACGGAGGCTGTGCTTTTCTAATTGTTATACATTTGTTTCGGTTACACTCACAGAGGTGATCGGCAATGTCATGGAAGACACACGTAATCTCCAAATGATCTATCACATGTTGATGACGAACCAGTCTGCGGCAGCGGCTTGGTTCAGCCGGGTAGCACTCAGTGTGGTGGAAGTTATTCAAAAGGTACAGCCCCATTATTTTAATTTTGGGTACAAATTGTATGTATAAATATACTCTATGGCAGCACCTAATTTTCACTTTTACTCTGTATGTTTTTTTGTATTTCATGTTAATTCATATTTTACTGTTCAGTGTTTTGCAGAAGCTAAGGCTAGATGACTATCAATAGTCTCTGTTCATTCTTCTTTTCTGTAATTACTGGTTGCAAAACACACAAAACTGTGGTTATATACCTTGTATTGGACTTTTCTTTTGTTTCATCAGGCTGTGGAGCATGAAGAATGTGAGGAAGTGTTTGAGAGCTTTGAGTGGCTGCTGCCCTCTGAGACAGCAAACATGAATGTGTGGAGATCCATGTTCTGCCAAAATATCTCTGCATTGAATACATCTTTGCTGATGGACTGGAATCCTGTAGTACAAAAGGTATAAACTGCTTAATGTTTTAAGAACTTTTAAAATAATACATATTATTCTGTTTTGTTTGATGAAATACAGTACTTCAGATTTGAATATGTTTGTTAGAAAAGCTTGTTGTTCTATCCTCCCAATCTCTGATTATGTTATGTTCTACCTTCAGACAGAAGAAGTGTACTTGGTCCTCACAGGCCAGTCAGACTTTAACCTGACACTTTCCATGATGCTCTCGGAGTGGAACGAGTTGTACAATGCCAGCATGCAATTTGGAGAATTTATGGACAGACTAATATCCCAGTTTGGTCAAGAGGGATGGATGAACTGGTTCCCTAACCAATACCCACATGACATTACGAAAACTCTTCAACAAAGGTTTTTTTTTCAGTATCTTGATAGTATACTTGCAAGGTTTCCATTTTAGTTTTACTTGAAAACATCACTTCAGAACTTTATCAATATATCTCATCCAATCATCCATGTTATAAACTTGTACTGCCCAAGAATAGGATAGTTTTACCAATTGATTTATTATTCATATTTTTACAGTCTGAACAGGCCTTTTCTTTTTTTTTCATGCAGTCTCTTCATGTCAATGGCAAACTTGGGAGAAGAGCTTGAGAAAAGCGATGTGTGGCCAGAGGTGAAGGATTACTTCCACAGCATTTACTGGATTTTGAACTACAGACCTGGTGTTGAAAAAGAGCCTCCAAATTGTAAGACCTGCTGTTTTCTTATGTCTTTGTTTGTATTCTCTGTTATGATTCTATGTTCTAGACTGTACACCACTGTATAAATGTCTTAAATAACATTCAGTCATTTACAATTTAGCCTTATATCATTAACATTGGCCACACATGAGTGAAAACCTAAACCTTCCTTGTTCCCGAAAGATGATGCCAAAAAGAATGAAAAGATATATCCTTTATTCTTCCATAATGAGGAAATTCAGAAATACTTCCTCCCTGAGTACTTCCCCCACTTTTTAATTATTTATGACGGTGGTTATTGAATGACATCCCTGACATAGTTAACTGCTAGCCTGAATTCTAAGTATATTAATCCACTATCCCCAATGGTTAAAACCAGTGATTCCAAATCCCCAGTGGTCCATGAGTGCATAGCAAGGGGTATGTAAAAATATTTTTTTTAGGTTCTTAGGTAGTAAAATAAAATAAAAATCTGTTTTGCTTTGTAAGGACCCAATTAAAAACTTAAACAAGTTTTTAATGACCAAAAAGTATGTTTTTTTTTTTTTTACATGAGTTCATCTTCAGCTTTGACACACATCAAAACCAAGCAGAGGAACATATTGGATGTAGAAAACAGCCTGGTATCAGCTTTATATGCTCAGGTGTCCTGATGTTAACAAAGTAAAGCTAATTAAGTCAGTCTGACTATAATTTTTTCTTCAGTATTTTGTTCCAGATTCATCAAGTTTAAATGTGATTATAAGGGACTTACTCAGAAAAGCTCTAGTTTTAGAAATACAGGTTTACCTTAAGATTCTATTTTGTATTTATTTTGACTCCTTAAGAACCTGAGGTTGTGAGTTTGATCCCCACTCACAAAAACTGCCACTCTGGCTCCCTGAGCAAAACCCTTAACCTCACACTGCTCCTCGGGCGCCGCACAACGGCAGCCCACTGCTCCCCAAGGGGATGGGTTAAATGCAAAGAAGCAATTTCCCTCTGGGATCATTAAAGTATGTTTAAAAAATAAAAAAAAGCGTACAGGTGGCACAGTGGTTAGCGCGTTAATCTTTTAACTTGAGCATATTATTCTAAGACATTTTATTCTTTCCATCTCAAATAAAAAAAACAACACAACTGTCAAAAAATGACCCACTAGTGCAGTAAACACTAAAATTAAAAAAAATTTTTTTGACAGTTGTGTTGTTTTTTTAATTTGAGATGGAAAGAATTAAATGCCTTAGAATACTACTACTACTACTACTATTACTACTACTACTAATAATAATAATAATAATAATAACAATAATAATAATTTTAAAAAGTTAAAAGAATAAGTAAAATAGTTTTTATTTAATAATCATTTTTTGTATGTTCCACTTCTGGATAATCATCAATACTTTTGACTGAGAGGGGTACTCATGGTAAGACAAAACTCCCGAAGGGGTAGACGAGTTGAAAAGGTTGGAAAACACTGGTTTAAACACTTGGAACTGGACGAGAGTACATTTCTGACTCCGACGATAAGCAGTGACAGTGACACTTGTTTCTGGTTCACCGTTATTTCCTTAGAGATCTTTCTCACATGTTTTCTAACAATCCTCTCTCTATGAATAAGCAAATATCAAAAATATACAAATGTAAATGTGTGTTTTACTTTTCTTTCAGGTTTCGTTGATGCCCATTCACTGATGTTTCAATGTGACACTGGTCTGCAGTGGCCAAAGTTTGTCAAAGCAATAACAGATGCTGTGATGTCACCAAATGAAAACATCATAGTGAAGTAAGGGCAGAGGATGTTTGTTGTCATTATATTCTACTGGGAATATATTTGTTTTAGCTTCAGTTTTATTTACATTGCTCACAATAGTGTCATCAGAGTCCAGTTTAGAAGAATGCTTAACAGACATTTAAATTCTCACTTGAAAAAAGACTTTGGCTCTTTGGATTTAAACATAACGCAAGTCTGACATTGAATATATATTTTTTAGTCTGATTCAATAGTATTTCATTAACATTTTTATGTTTTAATTTTGTCAGATTTTATTGTTCTGTATCTTTGTCTTGTATTTTACTTGCGCACCACTTACAATCATGGTAATTCTATAAGTCTTTTCTCAAGTGTTAGGTACGTATAAATATATGGTCAGTCTCCCCTTTTGTTGAAATTTGATGCCTTGAAAAATAGAAAACAAGTAAAAGTATAAAGGCTAGACACTGGACAAACTGCTTTATCCAGCTAGGAAGAACCAAAACATAAACATTTCCAAGCACAATTCTAAGGGTAGACTCCTCCGCCAAGGTTAATAACCTTGATAATGAATTGTTGTTAAATTTAACATTCATTTTTCCTATGCATCAAATTTCTGTTATGTTTCATGGAATCTATTATGTTAATTCTTCATATCACAAAATTTCAACATCAGGACGGCAGTTCTGACGAAACTTTTAAAGTATCACATAATATATTTAAATTATCAGTAGACAAGAACTTCCCCCCTTTTTTACAGACATATTTTCAGACATAAAACAATACAAAAGAATAATAAAACACACATAGGATAAATAATCATCAATACAAACAATATTTGTTGTAATTTATTGTTTGCTTGATACAAATGAATTAAATAATTTAGTTTAGTATTTAATTGAAGTTATTTATAGAAGAACTGGGAATTACTATATCTTTTTTTTAATATTTATATATATAATAGGAAAATAAATCTGTATTATTTCATATTAAATAGCCTACATTGCCAGAGTCCGCAGGTCAGCATAGGAAGGTACCTTGTTGTGGACCCCAATAACTCCCTATGAATTTGTTTAACTTAGACTTTTTTGGCTTTTATCACTATTTTAATGTCAAATTGTAGTTGTTATTTAAATATCATGCATTTATTTATTTATTTATTTATTTATTTATTTTTTCTGCTCCTATAGTGCTCTGAAAGGAACAGTGAACCTGCTGCAGCATGTGTATGGGGATATGTACAAAAATCTGACAGCCACCTATTTAAAGGAAGAGATTGAAGGAGGGGATGCTCTTTCTGCCTACCTGACCAAGTTAATTCTGAACTTGGATGGTTTTCTCCAAAAACTTACTGTTCTGCCTGATCGAAACATCTCAGACCCTGCCGTCATAGGACCCCTCATCATTGAGCTGTTAGAGTCTGCCGGTCTTAAGCCACTCCAGCCTCTGCTCTTTAATAGCAGTTCGGTTAATGCCTCCACAGTGCTGGATGCTGTCTTACAGATAATTAGGCTCAATCAACAAATATTTACATTTGGAGAGACAGACACTTCAATGAAAGGACTGGAGCAGTTGATTATGCAGTTCCTATCTATGGAGGGCAATCTGACACTTTCTTTCTCCAACATTCTGGGACAGAGCCTGCTAGCATACTCAGCCTCCATCAACCCCAAGAACGTGTCCTTTATCACGGAGGTACTTCATCAGTTCACCAATCAGACCTTTGATGAAGCCATCCTTGATGTTGTGGAGCTTCTGAAAACACTAAGTGATTCTCCTAATGACCTCAGCAATGTCCTTCTTGGGTACCTTCTCCAGCTTAGAAATGTTGTAACTTCTCTAATCAGGCTGCAGAGAATTGAGTATGTTCTGTCATCCAATGGTCAACTAACTGCTGCTCAAGTCACTCACCTGCAGACGGTATCAATTAACTTTCTTAACCTCCTTGACCCTGAGAACCCCCAGGGTCTAACTCAGGTTGGACCAGATGTGGCTCAGGAGCTCATCATCCAGAAGTTGCTGGCCTTCCTACCACCCAATGTCCAGAAGAATGCTACTGACTTTCTGCAGAATTTTAAAGCTCTCCAGGATCAGTTTACCAAATGTGAAGAAGGCGAGAACTGTCTGCAAGGCATATCAGAAATCCCTACCTTGTTGAACCAGATAATAGAGGTCCTTCTAACTGCCAGTGGAGATGTCACTATCTCAATATCGCCAAACAGCACTGTCCCCTTGCACCTTGAGCAGAAGGAACTTACAACATTAATGTTCTCCCTCATGTTGTCACCAAATGATGCAGCCCATGTAGAAACATTTAAGCAAACCCTCAATTTCATCAAACACATCATAGAGATGGAAAACATCACCACAGCTAGTGTCCAGAATGCTCTAATGCAGTCAAACCTAACCAGGAATGATCTGTTTGAAATTGCAGCACTTCTTGGAGCTTCCAGCCTGGATGATTTCATTGCAAAGATCTTCAACATTTACACTGAAATCAACAAAAACTGTTCTGGTCCTCAGAGTAACCTGACATCAAACTGTTTTGTAAGCATAGTGAATGGTGCCACAAGCTTTCTGACAAACATACCAGCCCTCAGAAATGAAACCACACTCCTCTCTTTCATCCCAGTTATTGTCAGTGAAACTCTGAGTGATTTCAACCAAGTGGACCTCAGCTCTGATCCTGACATGGCTGTTGTGCAAACTTTAGAAGCCATTTTGACTAATATCAAGTGGATACTCCAGATGAACCAACAAAACAGTTCAGACATCATGAACGAAATCACAATGGTGGACCATCTGATAGAGCTGGTCACTGACAGAAAACCATTTAACAGCTTGAATAATACCATGAGGGACCCACTTTATGCACAGAAACTCCTCCTTGAGCTTGTGGATTGGTATATTGCAAGGGTTGAAATGATCACCAGTAACAGTTCAGTTTCTGAGTACCTTCATGACTTTTTCTACTTCACCAAGATTCAGGTGGCAACCCAACTGGCTCAGATTGAATTCACCATGTATGTGAATGAGAAAACTCTGTTCTTAGTGAACAGCCTCGAGTACCCATTGAATGGCGGAGACATACGTCTAATTGGAAAAACAACAATCGATATCATTCGACATCTATTGGTCTTCATGAACACAACGGTACAGCTTCAGGATAACATTCCCGGTTCGGAACAGCTGGAGCCCATTGGTGCCCAAATCAGGCTCTACCTTGACCTCATTGAGAAATGGATGGAGCAGCCAAACATTCCAGAGCTCCTCACTAGTATGCTCCAGTGGGGAAACTCCTCTATGTCAACCCCTGTGAGAGATCTGAATTTCTTGCTGCAGACAATGTCTCATTTGCTCAACCACAATCAGAAAGAATTCCTCTGGATTATGACCAACTTGACAGAGTCTCTCAACAATGCCTTAACAGTGGCAGAGCAACCAGGTGGCTTACAGAGTGATGGCTTCATGTCTGAAATCTTAACGGCTCTCAACACAGTCATGCAGATCCAGGGCCCAATCGGAGGTCCCCTTCCATCCAGTGTGCAGCAGGATATTCTGGAAATTGTGAATGGTTCCCTGACTCTCATTGTTAACCAAAACATGAGTTTTGCATCATCACTGAACATTTCCCTACTGATCCTAGAGAAAACTGAAAACATTATACAACAAACAGTGCTGCAAAACTATTCAGAATACCTGCTGCCAATAGTTAAACTAGTCACTACATACTTTGAGAGCATATCTACAAGCAGCGGGCAAGATCAGTGGAATCAATTGTGAGTATATGCTACTGCTGCTAATAAGATAATGCTTGTTTAATAGTTGGGTGTGTGAAAAAAGCACAGGGGTAGAGAC